TCGTCAAGCAGGTCCTGCCTTTCATGAATCCGTGCTGTCTAGGTCTTATCCCCTGGTTGTCCCGCTCATGCCTTGTGAGCGCCCTCAAGATGAACCGCTCCATAATCTTCCCCGGCACCGAGGTCAGGCTGACAGGCCTGTAGTTCCCCGGATCCTCCTTCCGGCCCTTCTTGTAGATGGGTGTCACATTGGCAAGCCTCCAGTCGTCCGGGACCTCCCCTGTTAACCAGGACTGCTGATAAATGATGGAGAGTGGCTTGGCGTGCTCATCCGCCAGCTCCCTCAGCACTCTCGGGTGGATCCCATCCGGCCCCATAGACTTGTGAGCATCCAGGCGGCGCAGCAGGACGTTAACTGCTTCCTCTTGGATTATGGGGGGTTCATCCTGCTCGCCGTCCCTGTCTTCCAGCTCGGGGGGCTGAGTACCGTGAGGATAACTGGTCTGCCTGTTAAAGACTGAGGCAAAGAAGGCATTGAGTACCTCAGCCTTTTCCTCATCAACTAGAATTTGCTTCTTTTAAAACCACTCTTTTAGAACTGCAAGATTAAAATTTTAGCCGTGATTACTGTAAACGCATGCTGACCAAACCTACCTTTCATTGATTTCTAAAAGTTCCTTATTCTCTGCATTACAAAAGAACGCATTTTCTATTGTGCAGTTGTTGCAGATCATTAGTAGAATAGTGGCATGGTCCATTTGCGTCAGTGAGTTAAAAGATACAGGAACACGCGGGGTACTGAGAGGCTAATATGGTGAGGAAGGTATATTCCAGTGAAAGATGGAAGCAATTTCAGGTCATTTTAATGTGGAAAATGTAAGAGTTTGCTCTTTTTTTTTTTTTTTTTTACAAGCCTTTGGTAGCTTTCTCTCTGATTCAACAGTACGTGGATTACAGCAAGCTGTCTGGCAATCTTTTGGTGAAGTAAAACAGGGAAAAAAGCTGAAAAAAAAGAAAGGACCCTAAAGCTTAATTTTCAGTTAATTGGCTTGTATTCAAAATGTATGCAGTATGTTGGTAATTTATAACGTTCTGGCTATTCACATTGTAATATGGATACTGAATTAGAATGTATTACTTCATAAATTGCAGTTCAGTTCTGTTGTTGTATAATTTAACTTTGAACCATGTATATTTTGAGTCTTATTAAAAATAAATGCGAATTAGGATTCCATGCCTTTGTCTTTTTAAGGTGTCATGGAAAAACTTGGGCTTGGTCCAGAGGTCCTTCTACAGGAGAATCCCAGACTCATCTATGCTAGACTTACTGGATTTGGCCAGACAGGAAAATACGCCAAGTCTGCAGGTCATGACATCAATTATTTGGCTTTATCAGGTATGCTGTAAAATTTCCTGTCAAAAAAGGTTTTTCCCCCCCCTTAAGTCAAGACTCAAAAATTTATTGAAAGGTTATTTGCAGATAGCTCAAATTGCCTGAGGTGCAGTCTGATGAAACAGCTGAGCAGATCTGAAGCATCTCTGATAGTGAAAGGAGGGTTTCCTTCTCTTTCCCTGTGATTCTCCCTGCTCCTTGCTCTCCAGTCAGCTCTGGCGCTTGCTTAACCTCTCTGTAAGCTCCCTCACAAGTCAAAAACTGTCCAGGAGAAATGAGGATGTTTTTCTGCCAGGTTATTGAGGTGAAACAGTTCATTAAAGGATCCAGCAAACATAAAAAGTCAGCACAAGAAAGGAGGAAACATGGGCTGGACGGGCTGTTCGTTTTGGCAGCAGCAGGGAGCTGTTAGGCTGGATCAGCATGTCTTCTCAGGCTGTACAGTATTTTCCTTCCTTTGTGCTATTTTATCTGAATAAAGTTTTTCTCTTTGAAGAGAGGACTGAAGTTTTTATGCATTTTTGTCTTTCTTCAGGGCCTCACTCCTAGAAAATCTGTATGTTTGTAATCCCGAAAGGGCTGCAGATTATTTTGCGTGTTTGTGAGCAGCTTTTTTTGAGCGAAGAAAAACTAGGCAGCCTAAGCCATTTGAACTCTTGTGCTTTTCTGCTGTAAATATCTCTCCATTGATACCAACCGCAAGGAAAGTAGGCTGAAAATAAAGTGGCAATGCCATGTTTCCTTAAGGTGTTGTAGACAGTATGCTGTTTGTAAGTGTCATGTTTCTACAAGTATGCAGTAACAAACAATAATAAAACTACCCAACTCTGGTGGTAGCAGTCAGTGTGTCATGCATGGCCCCACCTACTGCTGTTCACATTGCTGCTGTCTGTGCTGCTTCTCTGAGCCTGTGAGGGAGGAGAGAAAGTGGCCCAAAACTTCTTGGCTTCCCACTGGATAAAGCATTTCTTTTAGCCCCAGCAAAGGGCCAGAGCAGAGGCACTGCAAATGCGGTGATCCAGTATCACCTACTATGGGGAGTCATTGTGTTGTGGAATTAAGTTTCTTCAGGGATGGGTTCAGTCTTCTCTCATTATGTAAGATTGTCAGAGAATAAAAAAGAGTAAAGAAAGGATGCCTTGTTTGAAACACTTTTGACTTAAAGTCCAGATGATTTCGAAGTATTATGATACTTTTATTTGTTATTAGCACAGGGGAAGAGTCAGTACAGAAACAGTATAGTCCATTGCTACCTTAGATTGTGGTACTTTCTGTTTAAAAAAGAAGTGGTTTTTTCTCTGGAGCCGATTTAATCAGTAGTATTTTGGTTAGTGCTATCTTCCTAAAATTAAATCCTTTTGCTTGAAATCTCACAGGTCAAGTTTTTCTGCCTATTTAAAGGAAATAGGACAAGGCATTTGGGAGGTATCATTCCTCAAAAATGAGATCTCATATCCTGAGTATTTTCCTGATGAGCTTTGGCTTTCTTTAGCTAAAAAATGTCTTGCATTAGAAACTCCAGATATAAGTTAATATATTAATCTGCTGGTGCCTGTGACGACCTTTAGACTGTTAAAAGTGAGGTTTTAGTCCTTGACAGGGCTTTATGCTTGCACTACAGGCTTTGGAAACGTTTTTATACTGTGCACTCAGTTGCTTGTACTTAGGAAGTGCATTAGACCATTAGCTAACTAAACGGTGCATCAGAATAACGCAATTCTCAGGAAATTTTGACCATGTATGCTGCAAGTCTCAGACCTTAGGCTACAGGCATAGAAGAGATATGATCATACTGCAGAGTTTCTTGCTTTCCCAAAGGGATTCGCTATGAGGGAACTACAAAGAGTAGGGTGACAGTAAAGAGGTTTTTCAGGGTGGCAGAGAAATGCTAGCAGATTCAAAGCTCCATCTGAAGTAACATGGCTTAGCCTTTGCTCTATTCTCTTTCATTTCTGCATAATTTCTGGCATAAACATAGGTCCCCTGTGTCTATATTGCATGCAGTCAAAGGTAACCTTTTTGTGTTATTCACCCATTCCTCTTATATGCAACCTTTTTTTTTCCAAAGGTAGTTGAAGAGGGAGGATAGGACTGAAGTGCAGTTGTCAATGTGAAATCCTTTGTTATGATTATTAATTCATGGGTTATGTGCACAGAAGACTGTACATCTGCATTTTTACTTCAAAAGATTCAAAGAAGAAAAATTTCCCAAAGTTGCTTTGAGACATGTTCATAATGCCTATTGAATTCTTACGGGGGAGGTTCTCTGCATGTACAAAGTACTAATATAGAATTATTGTGCAAAAGGTTTTTTTGGATGAAATTTTGTCCCTATGTAGCCAAATTATCAATGGTTTATCTGTGAGACTTTTATTAATCTCTTTAATTAAATGCATCTTCACTAATATGATCTCAGATATTCTATTCTTTTGTGAATTAAAGAGTAACTATTTGCTAAGACACAGCTGAGTAGAGACAGAAAACTTGGTAGAAGTTTGCTTTATCCCTTGTTTACTTGCATAGATTGAAAAGAATGAAACTTTAATTGTAGAAATGTAGAAATGACTGTTTATAATTAATTTTATACTTACGTTTGCTTTGTTTGCTCTACTGTCAGGTGTGCTGTCAAAGCTGGGTAGAAAAGATGAAAATCCTTATGCACCTGTAAATCTTCTGGCTGATTTTGCTGGTGGAGGTGTCATGTGCGCAATGGGCATTGTTACAGCCCTTTATGAACGTACCAAATCTGGTAAAGGGCAGATCATTGATGCAAGTATGGTAAGTTTGGTCTCAAGGAAGGTGGGGTTTCTTAGGTTTGCTTGTTTGGGTTTTTTCCTACTCTAGGTCTGTAAAAGGGAGGAAATTAGAGCTATACATAAGGTTTAAAACAGAACTTGGGAAAGGGAAAGTAAGTAATCTCACAAAATGGCTATTCCTTCACCTACAAGCAGTTCTCACATATGACTGTTGCCATAACATCCTTATGACATGGGACACATACTGCAGCTTTCCCCCTGTGCCATTCCCTATCTTCAGTCTGCCTTCTTCAAAAAATATTAGCTCTATATATTTGATGAGTAAGTTTGCTGTATGGAAATAGAGTGTATAATAAACAATTAACATCATGCATAACAACAAAAATGATGATCCTAATAAAATAAAGAATTGCATTAGCTTTGTCCAAGATAGATCTGCTTATGAATTTGTGACAGGTCATGTCTTATTAGAAGCACTGTTCCCTCAAATAGTTATGCTGCCATGGATTATTGCCAAGAAGTCAATTTCAAACACTTTGCATTAATGTGCCGTAAAATAAATGAAAGGCTAAAGTAGCTTAATAATGAATACTATGGAATGTTTCACTGCAAGGCCACCCACTTACACACAGAGGAAAAATACATATTTACATTTATCCTTGAAACCTGTATTATCTGCAAGTGTTTTTTTTCTCTCTCTCTCTCTTTTTCTGTTTTTCTTTTTAAAGAGCGTTGCAATTAAAATTTGACCTCCCTTCGAGGTGTTGTGATACAGTGAACATTATGCTTTGGACTTAAATATAAATTGAAAAAAAATATATTAATTGAAAAATCCCTTTGTTGAAGAGGTCTTGAAGGTAGGAGAATAGCAAGAGATGTTAGCTATCTTGACTTGAGTAAGTTTTTTGACAAATTCACATGACATTCTCAGAAGCAGGTCACGGCATTATGGTCTAGATGAAAATTCTATGGGATCAGTGCAAAACTGGTCTATTTTTTTACCCTGACAATAGTTATTAGTAGTTGATTGTCAAACTTACCAGCTGGAGTTCCACAGACGTCTGTTGGGTTTTTTTAGTGTTTTCTCCAATAAGCTGAATGGTGGATGAGTGATGGTGTGTAGTAAATTTACGGATGATAAACATGTGGGAAGAACTACAAGTATGTTGGACACTTGGATTAGAATTGAAAGTGACCTTTTCAAATGAGAGAAATGACCTGAAAAAAATTGGCTGAAGTTCATGGAGACCACTGCTCTGTAGTTCTCTTAGGCAGAAACAATTAGCTGCACAGATGCAGTATGAGAACAATTGGCTAAAGTACAATCCCGGGGGTTTGTAGTAGTCACAAGCTGAACATGAGTCAACAATGTCATGCTGTTGTAAAACACACACACACTGTATTAGCATGTATAAACAGGAAATAGAGCCAGCAGAGTTTCTGAAGTAATTCTTCTAATCTATTCAACATTTATAAGGCCTCAGGAAAATACTGTTTCTGATGCTGGCCATCAACTTTCCAAAAAAAAAAAAAAGACCAATTTGAGGAAGTCCGAGAAACACAGCAAAAATGATGTGAGTCTAAAAACAAGACCTACAAAGGAAAAATGAAGGAGTTTGTGTATTTGTGAAGCAAAAACTGTGGAGAATTGTGACAAGACTTCAAATATTTAAAAAGATATTTCTTGTAGCTTGGAGTATTACCTTATATTCACTATTGGTACTTTTAAGTCATTAAAAGAGTTTGTTATGAGAAGAATCAATGTAAGTCCGCTGATGTCCTAATGAGATCTCTGGCTCATTGGGAATGGAATGTGTTGTGGTTTTTTGTGGTGTTTTTTTAAGCCCTCAAAATTTAAGCCTTTCAATTTTTTCTTGTCTCGTTATACTTGTGGAATTTACAGTTCCCTGCTGGTGTTCCTGGTGTCCTGTGAAATGGATGGAATATTGTCCAGTATCACTGGATGGACTTTATCTGGCATTTTGTTATGTTCCTTTCACTTGAACAGACTTTCAGCAAGACAGTTGATGAAGAACATACATGCATCATCAACACCAAAGACGGTTAAATAGACTGGGTTGATGAGCCTGTTTTTATATCTAAGTTTGTTTCATGGAAGTAGATATTTTTAAAAGCACAATACCGCAGCATTTCAGCTGTCATTCCGTTTTAACATTCTTTTTTATTTAATAGGCCTATTACTTAAGTTGTTGTACAGTTTAGGTAGTCTGAGTATGTCTGAATATAGTAGTCTGAATATAACGACATGGTGGAATTTTCTACGGTAGAAGGGGGAAAATGGATTTCCTTTTTTGCAGCTTTGTGTCCTCAGGATTACTTTTATTAAGTTTTCATCTTACTTTATGGTTTGTTTTACTGACCACTTGTTTGTTTTTTCCTTTTATTGCAATGTCTATTTTTCTGGGGTAATCTAAAAAAATTAATTATTTCTTGTCTTTGAGGTTAGTAATTATAGATTGAGATCCAAATTTTTGTGATAGAAAAATTTGTTATTTATCTTTTATTTCTAATTACTATGCTGAAAGCTGAAAAATGGCTTGGGAGCATTCTTATGATCAGTAATATACACATGAGGAACTCCTCTAGTTAGTGAAACTAAACTGATACACAAAGAGAGTAGAGAGGATCAGGCCAAGAGCTAGATTTGCATCACCTGTTCACAGTGTCCAGTGTTATTGTTGCGCTGTGTAAAAAGTAGACACTGGGTCCTGCGTTTTAGCTGTCTACCTGAGAAGAATTAAATGCCTGATCTGAATTGATTCATGTTAGTTGCTGTCTCTTCTCATTGACTCTATAGGGATCATAGGTATCTTACAGTGAGCCTGATAGTTCCTGTGTGCTGAGTAGGATGTGGAGTGGACACCGCGATATGATATGGTTGGCACATCTGCACTCTTGCACCACACTGGAATAGAAGCATGTGAGTCAGGGCCACACTTTAGGTTCACTCCAAAGTCAGACGCAGAGCCTTCTGCTGATGGTAGGCATCTGACCAAGCATGACTCACTCTTTGTGAAAAGACAGCCACAGGAGAGGATGGCGGTAATGATCACTTGCATAATAGTCTCATGGCAAGAGCATTTAGCTGTCTAACAGAAGACTGGGGTTGCAGGTTTTTCTCAGCCTGGAGGTATTCAAAACCAAAACTCCCACATCCTAGAGGCATTCTTCAGTCACGAGGATAAAGGTTAGGTTGGTGTGGATTCATTCTCAGTTTTGTTTGAACTGTTTCACTCTGCAGAAGGAACAGAAGACTTGCGGAGCAGACAGGTCACCCAGCGGGGTGGTGCCTCTGGATTCTTGTCCCTGCTTCAGAGACCTCTGATGCTTTTAGCATGAGGAAGCCCTTAAGTGAAACACATAACTGTTACTGTAATCATTCTGCAATTAGGCTTAAGTGGAGTCTCCCCTGTTGTCCTTTTCATGTTTTAAAAGAAAGTGACCACATTAGTGTGTGTGTGGTGTTATTTGAGCATGCCTTTGGAGGTTTGGTGTAGATGTTAGACACCTTTTTATTTGTCTCTGAATTGCAGTGGGCCTCAGGCAGAAGCTAGCTGTCCAGTTGCCCAGCCAGGGATATTTCTAAAGTCCCTATACCAGTCCAAACCAGGTGTAGTATTTTATTTTAAGTGTTTCCAGGGTAAGTAGCACTGTATGTAGGTATTGTAAGTAGTTCCGTCAGCACCAAAATCTAATTTGCAGTTAAGGCTTATTCTGATATTATCCCCATCTATTATTATCCTTACTTCCAATGCTTTTTGTGTATTTTTTTGTTAATATGAGCAGTGCAAAATCAGATCATTAGTAAAGCGAACACTATTTTGATATCTTTGCAATCATTCTGCGACCATGAAGATGAAGGTACACAGTATTTTCTCACATGAAAGTACTTTAGTTGACTTTAATGTATGACAAGTAGGGCAGAAGTATTCCTGTTCTTGTGGCAGGTACTTGAGAAAGAGGCAAAGTAATACACATTAAATGAAGAAACCTTCGTGACTGCATACTTCGAAGATTTCCATGTTTTAAATTCTTGCTTGGAAAGGTAGAAACTAATAGATCTTTCCACATGAAAATTCAGTAGCTTTTTATTTCAGTAAAATCTCTGTGCTTTTCTCTATAGACAATATTAGGTTAATTTTACACAGCTGAAAATGCATGAATCAAAATGATACAGCTCAGGTTTTTCTCTGTTCCACTGGAATGTTTCTGGCCATATATTGTTACTGCCTCATCTTCACTTACAGTTTTTCTAAAGCAGTTGGAAGAAAATGGGTTCTGCTGGTGAGCAAAACTGTAGGATATGATTTTGCCTGGAAAGACTGGTACAAGCTTGATAATTATTGAAAGGCTGAACAAACTGAATTTTCATCTGGTTGTACTCCACATAGCCAAAATTTTAAGGGCAAGTTGGAACAAGATTAATCATGTTTTCTAGTGCTGTATTCATCAGACACTTGCCTATTTAGAGATTACCTTGCTATGTCTATGTACCTACCAGTGATGAGAGTGGGAGAATAATTTTTAACTTAGTGATGAAGATGAGCTTCCCAGTTCCCATGGTATAAGAGAGCTTTAACCTTTGATTTCCTTCCAGTTTTCTTCTAAAAATAGCAGTCTTATTATAATCAGTAAATTCAAAGAAGTTGAGGTTGAGATAAAGATTTGATACTTACAGGGCTGGTATAGGCACCTTGATTTCCAGAGGTTTAGAAGGCTTGACGGCTGTCAGATACTTAATGTTCTATATAGCCAAGAAGCTTGTCCTGTCACCTAAAATTACTTACATTCTTTTTGTGAACTCCTAATGATTATAAACGTGCTAAACGAGGAAACTTTGTGCCTTGAAAGTGCGTTACCATCTGAAGCTGCATTATTACATTTATGTTCCTTCTTATTATCTAATTCTAGATGATTTTACATATGTAATATAAACAGTAATTGAAAATTTTAAGTAATTAAACTGCTTACCTGAGATTTTGTCATTAAAAATCTTAACAAAGGACAGAACTGGTAGGAGTTTTTTGCTGTTTTGTTTTATGTAGAATTAAGGTAACATGCCAACTAATTTATTGAAGCTGTTACTTTTTCCTGTAAATTTTCAAGGTAGAAGGAGTAGCATACCTAAGTTCTTTTCTGTGGAAATCACAAAATTTGGGACTTTGGAACAGACCTCGAGGTGAAAACCTGCTAGATAGTGGTGCGCCTTTTTATGAAACCTACAAGACCTCCGATGGAAAATTCATGGCTGTTGGTGCCATTGAGCCTCAATTCTATGGGCAGTTAATAAAGGGTAAGTAGCTTGGAGAGTTTCACATCAGCAAAGCATGATTGAATGAATTCTTTAATACTTGGTTTTGATTCATGGTATTGGTTATGTTGATTTCTTTGTAAAAGCCAAACACTTCGTGAAACTAATTGGGTAGCAGTGTAGCAGTTTAGTTCACTTTCTTCTAGCAATTGATTTCTTTCTTTTTCATCCCTTCTTCACCTTACCCTCAGAAACTACACTTAAATTACAGGTTTTCTTCTGGAGTTATGGTAATGGTAGTCTGTGATGTGGCTGGACCACTAAACAACTATTTTTGGAAACCACTTTTTTCAAGGGATTGTGAATATGCTTTAAAAAGGAGACCTAATTCTTTGGTATTGCAAATAAAATTTCAAGCAAGTTCAATTATTTGTGCTACAATTTTTTTAAAAAAGAAACTATTTAAATTGTTTCAGAAATGAATATTCATTGGAAGTAGTTCATAATATTTCCTGAAAGAATAGAATTTTTCTAGAAGCAAAGTCAGCTTTATAAATTAATTTCCACTACACAATTTCAGAGTGCTTTTGGTGTCCAGCTATGGTTATAATTTTTATATTTGACTGAAGACTCTTTAAATATGACTATAAAATAGGATTTATCTGTTTGAGAAATTAGAATGAGTCATGCAAAATAATTGTGTGAAGTTAAAACAGAAATTTGCAGGTGCCTCTCTACCTTTGAACTGTTTGTGTGCTTCAAGCTTTTGATCAGATGTGCTCTTAGCTTCTTACTGGTTGTTTAATTTAAAAATAATTTCTTCTGTCATGCTCCTTTGGTAGATTGCTATGCTTTCCATACAGAATTTATGAAAATATAAAAAATTTACAAAAGAATTTGGTATTTATTATCTTTCCATTATTCTGAATATGAAGGATATAAAAAGTTCTCAATCTAATTTTAGTTTTGCTTAATGAGTAGAAGGAATACCAACAGAGGATATACCTAAAGTGGATGTACCCAGTGTTACGTGAACCACTTTTGTACATGCATGACTTACACGTGGGAAATCTTTGCTGAGTGAGGGTGGCAGTGGAGTAGCTCCTTATTCTTGCTCAGTCTCTCCCCACTGATTATTCCTTGAATTGTAACATGGATACCTGTACTGGGTTTGGGTGGGATAGAGTTAATTTTCTTCCTAGTAGCTGGTATGGGGCTGTGTTTTGGATTTGTGCTGAAAACAGTGCTGATAACACAGGGATGTTTTCGTTACTGCTGAGCAGCGCTGACACAAAGTCTAGGCCTTTTCTGCTCCTCACGCTGCCCTGCCAGCGAGTAGGCTGGGGGTGCACAAGAAGTTGGGAGGGGACACGGCTGGGACAGCTGACCCCAACTGGCCAAAGGGATATTCCATACCATGTGATGTCATGCTTGGCAATAAAGGTTGGGGGAAAGGTTGGCGGCGGGGCCACTGCTCGGGGACTGGCTGGGCATTGGTCAGCTGATCGTGAGCAATTGTTTTCATTTGCATCACTTCTCTTTCTTGGGTTTTATTTCCCTCTCTTTGTTATTATTTTTTTCCCGCTTTTCCTTACAAATTTTTTTATTATTATTATTCGTTTGTAATTTTTAAACTGTTTTTATCTCAACCCACAAGTTTCTTTCTCACTCTTCCCCTTCCAGTTCTCCCCCATCCCACTGTGGGGAAGGGGAGTGAGTGAGCGGCTGTGTAGTGCTTAGTTGCCGCCCAGGGTTAAACCATGACAATTCCTCTCAGTTACTGGCAGCTCAGCCCCAATGACCTACGTTGTACTAACAAGAGTGTAGTCAGTGCCAGGGCCTGCACTTCCAGGAGTTTTTGAAATTCAGGAGCATGGTAAGATGAAATGCAGGTATGGGGCTGTAAGGTGGGGTATGCCTTTGGTGAGCAGGATCCCAAGGAGAGATCTTGTCCTGTACACTTTGGCGTTGTTCTCTTGCAGCCTGTGGTGCTCCCAAAGTTCTTACACATCTGTGGCTGTAAATGGCTGCTTCTCAGTGTAGGTTGAGAAGGACTGTGCAATTGCGTAGAATATCCAAATTGGTACATGCTGATACATGAAACGCATAACGCAGGCTCCTGGAGTGACTCAGGGACATGTACAGCATTATGTGCTGCCCCTAGATCAGTTGTCAAGTTTGGAAGAGCCATGTTCTTGGCTGAAGAAGCTGGTACTTTGTCCCTGATTGTCCTGAGAATAACTTGTTTGCGAACTCCAGTTCTAAGCTACTCGATCTTGAAAAAGACAGTCTAGTTGATTATTCTACACTTTGCAGTTCTTTGAAATGTTATTCTCATCCAATCCCTTGAAATTTTTTTGCTTGCAAGAATGGAGTTGGAGAACAAAAATAAATATAAAACTGTATCAAAGTAAAATGTAAGCCCTTGCTCTGGAAGTTAGGGAATTTGGAATTCCAATACATGTCTTCAGTGAGAATGCCTGCCTTAAATACAAAGGAAAGAAGAACAGAATAAAGGTGCTTACTCAAATACCCATATGTTTGGCTTAAAGTGATCAAACACTGGCCTACAGTATTCATGGCTGCAGTATTTTATTTCTCTAGAGACTGAGTTGAATAGCACTTACTTTTAAGCTACAGGAGTGGGATGGAATCTATATTTGTTCAAAAATAAAACAAATTCTGTAATGGAGTCTGGTCTTGTTTGTCACTCTTCTTCTCAGTGAACCTTTGCTGGACACTCCAGCCTTCTTGTGTTGATCATTGCTACAGGGCAAGGCTTAGGCTTTTCTCTCTCAACCAGCCAGCCAGCTTATCTAGAAAGAAGCCTCTGATTGATGAATCCAGTGGTCAGGCAATATAACATAATCACTGACTGATCTCTGTATTATTTAGATAACTCTTTACTGACGAAAATGTGAAAATTCTGTTTTCCTCTTAGTGGTTTCTCAGAAATTTAGAGCATAAAGTTGGAGCAGCAACTATGAATTCATCTGCTTATATTGGGGCACCCACATTAGACAACTTTATTTTCATGTTTGAAAGTATTCCTCATGTTTACAATGCACAGAAGTGGCTTCATTTTAACATATGAAGTTTCAAAAATAGTTATTCCAGCAATAAAGAACTGGTGTATCCGTTTGTAAGTAGACAACAACTGCAATCGCAGCTGTGCCTGTGTTTCAGTCTGTTTCTGTCATATTTAAAAAATCCAACATACAGACTACAGCCTTCTAAGGAAATTTTGCTTTTTGCCTTTAATTGTATCACAATCTTAGCTCATTTACAGCCAATAATTTTTCTTTGTTTATTTTGTAAAAGTGTGTTGTTTAAAGTATCAGACCAAACTCAAGGTTTTTTCACAATATTGCATTTAAAATAAGTGGTCTTTCTTCATTGTATTTTAGGTGCATATTATGAATTGCTCAGATTTTCACATAGGAAAAATTTATGCCCTTCAGTAGTTATGGTTGCAAGCTTTCTGAAGCAATAGCGTACTAAATTAGAACAGCAGATCCTTCTTGTGGCTTAGGGATTTTTTCCTTTCTGGGATATCTGTTGCAGAAATTAAATTCAGAATTTAAGCCTTTGAATGTTATAGGGAAGAAAAAGCTGCTTGTGAGAATTGTATTGCTCTTTCACAAACTGGAGGAGCTTTGACTTAGGCTGAGTCGTCTGTTCCAGACATTAATTCCCTGCTTTGAAGTAGTTTTAAAATGGTATGTTCCAGTTACAGTTTCCATAATTTTATTTCATAATTTTTTTCCCATAATTCTGGTCAGTTCTGCTGGTGAACAATTTGGTGCTGTTCCAGGTAAAATATATTTGAAAGCCACTTTATGTCTCTCTGTCCATATTCAGAGAGTAGGTTACTTTTGCCACTCCTATATAATGAAAACACAAGGATATGGGTGTTGCAGATGTAAGAGTTGGAGATTTAAAGATTGCGGAATTGAGAAAGGAACATGATTTCTGAACCATTTGTCACTGCTTGCAGAATTCTGGTTAGCTGAAGTGAAACTGATTTCCTTTTGGTTTTGGTTCACTTCAGTGTTTCCCTACAAAATTAGGAACCCAGTGCTGGACCAGAGTGCGGTTAATGACATGGCAAGGAAAGTTCTTCAAGGGTCTGTGGAGGGAAACTAACTAACTTTAGGAAAATACAGCATCTTATTTTGAGAAGATTGTGGCTTTGTAGGTCATGCTCAGTAGGGAAAATTAAATTTCTGCTTACCACAAATTTATGAATTTAAAAAAAAAAGGTTATATGAGAAACTGAAGCGATATAAAAGAGATATGGTAAATAATTGCTGTAGTAGCTGTAGTATTAGGATTTGTATTCTGGGCTCACTATAGACTATTTGCTGCTAACAAACATGCTGTAATCCTTTTGCTTATATTAATTTTATTACTACAAAAGTCAGCCAATAAATAACTAAAATGCCTTTGCATCTTATGAAAAATCTGATGTAAGAAACATGTGCGACTAGTGTTAAGTCTCAATGTTTTGACAGAAAGAGACAGAATGTCTTCCAGCTGACCTGTAAATTGCTTCTGCAGGTTTCTCTTGATTTTTAGCAATATGTGCTTAGTATTGCTGTATCCAGGCTACAAGAAGCATGCAGAACACAGTAGATTTTATATATCAGGTGAGAGTAAAGGTTTGGTTCTGTGTTATCATGTGGTGTAAACTCGGTTACATAAGATGAACTTAGTATTAACTTACATTGATGTGAAAAGCACTAACAGTCACTAAAGTTCTGAACATGTATTTGATAGTACTCCTTTCATACTACTTTGATACTCCTACATTGTGTGACTTCTATTTAAAAAGAAGGGAAAAAAATTAGGAAGCACTTGAAAAACCTAGTTTACATCATTATGACGGATTTCCACAGGGCTCTCCATTTTGTGATTGTAAAGTATTGTGTACTGTATTAAAAATCTGCTAATGTGCTGAATTCAATATGATGTTGTTATTAAGACATGCAAAGTGGACAAACAGTTTCCTCATTACATGTTAGACACGCTCAGTTACACATAATGTTAAGTTTTATTTGAATTTACTTATCATGATAAGCCTTAAACATTGTACAAATACTGTAGAGGGCTAGGTTCTTGCTGCACCAAAACATTTGCAATTGTGGTAATTAAATATGTAAACTTAGAGTACAGCTATGGATGCATTTGCAGCCATGCTCTGGTAGTACTCTGGGCCTGTTCAACCTTTTGCTGAACTGTTGCTTTCTAAAAAATTATTTTAGTTTCAAAAACTTTGAGCAGAGAAAAAGCTTTACATAGTTACTTTAATGAAAATTCAGTACTGTCTTGGAATGTTTTAAAGTTCAGTTCCCCCTCAGAGTGAGAATGAATTATATTTAGAGAGAGAGCGAGCAATGGCATACACCAATGGCTGTGGTTTGGGCCAAAATTAAGGATTCCCATACTAGATAGTTCCATTCGATCATGTTGTGGCAACATAATTTCAGGATTACTGTCCTATGAGCGTACAATTTTGAAAAGAAAATCAGCAAGTTAAAACAAGAAAATCCTGAACAAAGCTCTGCTAGGGATCCTAAATAATCTTTTAAAATAGTATGGCTGAAATACTGTATGAAACAGTTTATTTCCAACATACCAAAGCAACTTCGCTGATTTATCTCATGAATTTTACTGTCTTCTCTCTCTTGAAATAGGTTGCTAATTTTACTGCAGTTTGTCTAAGAAGTTCTGTAGAAATAGAGATTTCAGTTTGTTGCATTAATAAATGATGTGCAGATACATGTCAATAAAGCTATAGCATTTAAAGGAGACTTAAAGCTATATCATTATAAGGAGATTTAATTCTTCGTTTTTCAAAAGTTGTTATTTCAAAGCTGTACTAGGGTAGGTTACTGGGTTTTTCTAAACAAAAATCCCTAGATCAAAATTGAACAAAAAAACTTGGAAACAAGTTGTGATTGCTTTCCCAGATATTCTGTGTAAAAGATAATTTGGTTTTGATTATGTTGGGTGAAATCTGTCATCCTGTGGTATCCCAAACAATTCTCTGCTGTGTAATTGTTTCCTTGTTGACTCAGTCACTCCTGCTGTGATTTTGTTCGTCTGTACCACAAATGGTTAGCACAAGCTGGAAAATGAGAAGCTGTAGTGCTTAAATGCTGCCGGTTCATGCTATTTAAAGTTGAAGTCTTCAGTGGTCGACGGAAAATGATCATGTAATATTAAATTCCAGGTTCTGCATATTGTTCTGTTTTGCTAGAGCATGTACAGTTAGGTTCAGCCAACTTTCCATCTGGCACGATCTTCAAATATAATTGTGTAATGGGATAATGGTAGAGCTCTGTTCATGTTGGTCTGGCTGCTAGAACCCAAAGCATAATTAATAAGCAAATAAATACTTGAGAAACAATGTTTCCAATAGACACGATTTCATCTCAGATAGTGTGTTGTTACTTAGCTTTACTTATTGTGGAAGTTAAATTTGCCTCACCTCCTAGTTCTTGAGTAAACTATGTAGCACTGTTCATCTTTAGTGTTATACTTTGAAGATTAATAATCAAATTAATTTTGAAAGCATTGTTGGCTTCTATTTAATTACAGATGTTCCACCAGTATGAGTAATCTTCAGCTGATCTTTTTTTAGGCTAATATGAATGGTTATGAAGACTAGATTTTAAGTTTAGTGATTTAAGGTGCACGTGACTTGGTAACTTGATAAGGACTGATGTTTATCTTGTAGTAATACTTATCCTGATACCCATAGGAATCTCTAATAGGATGTGAAAACGCTTATTCTGTCTTTGACTGTGTTGATTTTCTTCTAAACATGAACAGCTGCAAGGCTGTATTTCTGAGTCTGGAGATTGGCAATTTCTCTGTGTTTTCCTTTGCCGTACCAAAGTAAGATTTCAAAGCATGTATTCATTCTCAAAGCTACTGCTTAAGAATCTGGCGATCAACAGTGAAATTCTTAAATACTATGATAACTTGGGGGAGCCTATGAGCCCCAAGAAGTGCATGTAGTAGAGATTATGAGCGGAAAGAACTTAAGAGCAGAAGAATGGACGTTATCTTCCTTTCTTCTCCCCTGTATGTTCCAGTAGCTATATGTCTACCCCTCTCAATGATAAGGAAGCTATAGAAATAGAAGATACAGGAAGTTTTTTCTGCCTATCTACAGCTGAAGATTAGAGGAGTTCTGTGTAAATTCTACCTGCAACAGGCATCTCGTAGCCAAGCCTGTTAACAGTTGCAAGTCATGCAATCTGATACCAAGTATCTAAACATGAAAGAATGCTCAAAATTAAATGTTTGCAGAACTCAGCATTTTCTCTGCCTTTTACACAGAGCTGTTGTTTTCTAAGCAGCTCCCTTTTTTTTGTTGTTTCTGAAGCATTATGATGATAGTTGTTCTCTAGCCTTTCTAATGTCTCAGATTAACTTCTTTCATAGCCCTGCTTTTTCTGAATTTTTCCTGCTATGTCCATGCTCCTGAATTTCAAGATGTGACTGTTTGGACAGCCTTCAATATACCACTTCTGATTTCTATTTGATATCATAGACTCTGTTTGTACCTCTGTTTGTATCTCCATTTTGAAAGTGTGATTTAATTGCCTTTTCTCTTTCTTGTTTCTTACCTCCTTTTTGAGATAAACCCTACAAGAAGTGGTAACAATTCTTGGATCTCCTTGAAGTAGGAGAATGGAAGGGTAGGGAGTGCAGAGAGCAGAATCCGTGCGAACAGAAACAGAGATGGGAAACTGGCTGCACAGGAGAGATGTAAACTCCCCAGTGAGAGGGAAGGTGGTGCTCGGTTGAGGGAAGGACCTAGGACCTGCCTAGTTCAGGATATTTTCAGTACAAAGCCTGTGTGTCCATCTTCTGCTCTTGTGCCTCAGAAGGATGTGTGTATTGCATACCTAGGTGGTCCATGCGACTGATCTTCTGGGAAGCAGAGTTCTTAAGCAGTTAGTGAGTGTAAGGGCTATGGGTTTCACTTTTCCAAAAGAGCAGCAGTGGAGAGTTGGAGCCTACGAGGTCTGCTGAAGAGGGGAGAGCAGCAAACACTGCTGGAGTCCTTTTGGACCGAGGGAGTCGAGAAGCAGGTCGGTTAGCCTGCAGGCACCTGCAGCTGAGCTACTTCATGCACAGCGAGCCTGGGTATATCCATCCATGCTGTCTTCTCATCTCTGGCATAGAAATAACCCGATCGTGTTGGACACACTGTAGCCTGCTGAATGTCCAGCTCTGGCAGATGTACTGGCTTCTATGAGATAAGTATATTGCTGTAGTCCAAGACCCATTCACCAGACTTTTGTGTTGCTACTGCCAGGTGGAGAATACAATACCTGATACAGATGTTCTCAGGACGAAATGTTATCTCTAGGCAGCTGCTGCTCTTACAAAGTGCTTATACAAATGAGTGTTTATTATATGTACTTACTTAAAAGGCTGTAGCTGTTGTGGTTTAGTCTAATTGCAAGTAATAGAACATTTTATTCTTCTGCTCCCTCTCCCTCAATCATAGATACCATAATAAAGTTTGAAGTGACTTTTTGTTAGCATGTTCTGCTGCGTTGGACTGCCTGCAAAATACTAGCTTCTTGAGGAACATACTTAGTTGTGGGCAGCACTTTAATTTGTGTAAGCTATACTACAGTTAAACTTCGCTTTTCTCCTTTCAGGTCTTGGGCTAGATTCAGATAAACTTCCCAATCAGTTGAGTTTCTCCGACTGGCCCAAAATGAAGAAAAAATTTGCATCCATATTTGCACAGAAGACACAAGCTGAGTGGTGCAACATATTTGATGGTACTGATGCCTGTGTGACCCCTGTTTTATCCTTTGATGATGTTGCCTCACATCAGCATAACAAACAAAGAAGTTCTTTTATCAAAAATGATCAGGAAGAGATAAGTCCTAGACCTGCTCCTCTTCTATCAAGGACCCCTGCTGTTCCATCGTTTAAAAGAGATCCTTTTATAGGAGAACACACAGAAGAGATACTTCTAGAGTACGGCTTTACTAAGCAAGAGATTACTAAACTTTATTCTGATAAAGTAATAGAATTCAATAAACCAAAAGCTAATTTATAATCTCTAACTATGCAGATCAGACAAATTTCAGGCTGATACAGTATGTTTTTATGCATTAAAATTGAATTGTATGACAAATGTTTGCATGATACAGCTTTGAAAGAATTTTTTAATAAATTATTGCAGTTTTAAATTTAATTGAAAACAGTGGGAATTATGTACTTGTGTACCCAGATGGTCTGCAGTCTAGAATGATACCAAAATTGTGTTCTGAAGATCTACACGGTTTGAAAAGTAAGCAGCTGTAAATCCTCAAAATATTTCTTTAAATATCATATCCTGTGAAATGTTTGTTTCTTTTAATTCTTAGTTACACTGTTGCTTTGCAATATATGTTGTAATTACATAAAGGCAATACTTTTCATAAAATATCGATATATTCTTCCTAAACAAGTGATTGTGTTGTTTACTCATAGATTAGAAGGGATTTTTTTTATCTATCTTATCATATTAATTCATTTGTCTTATCGAGCCAAAGCAGTGATCGAAATAATGCTGTTTTCTTATGTGCTGCTGTAGAGTTATGATCATAAAATAATTCTATTTAATAGCCTGACTACATTTTCCTAATGCAGTCTCCTGATTATATTACATTTGGAATTTCAGTTTGCCTAGAAAATCACTTCAGAACGAAATTTGTTATTTTAAAATAGCTGCCAAGTATTAATTCTTTCCTCTCTTTTTGGAAAAATGGTAGGCAACTTAGCTGCACAAGTTTTAAACAATGGTTATCCATGGTGGTTTTAATTTCCTTCAAAATTAAACCATCATTTGAAAGTCTCCTTCAAGGCAAAAAAAAAAATGCTTTTAAAAAGAATTAGTTATATGGCCTTAATACAGTTTTCTTTAGTCTGACATGTCAGGAATTATGATATAAGGGGTTGGGTTTTTGATAATTTTGTCAGAGTGTTTACCTTGCTGAAGATTAGTTTGTTGCTTACAAAGACTTCCAAAGCTGAGATATACTTTAGCTCATTTTATCTGTATCATGCCAAAATGTCAGCATTATTACTACAAAAAAACCTTCTACATTGTACTACATAAACACCTGCCTGGAAGCAAGAATTATCTAGTAGGTCCTGACAAATTAGATAAACAATCAGCAAAAGCATCTTAAGTTTCCAGCTGATAATGACTCTAATGTAAATTACTGAACATTACACACCTTTACAGTAAGATTTGGTAATTTGGCTAGTCCCAGATGCATCCAGTCGTGTTGGAGAACAATAAATGTTGTCCAGTGTAATCCCCAGTGCACCTAAGTTTTGAACCCCAAAATCACTGAAGTAAATTTAAAAACTCATGTTAACATCTGGGATTTACCTCAGGGGTCCGTATTGGGACCGGTACTGTTTAATATCTTCACCAATGACACAGACAGTGGGATCGAGTGCACCCTCAGCAAGTTTGCAGATGACACCAAGCTGAGTGGTGTGGTCGACACGCCCGAGGGATGGGATGCCATCCAGAGGGACCTGGACAAGCTGGAGAAGTGGGCCCATGTGAACCTCATGAGGTCCAACAAGGCCAAGTGCAACGTCCTGCACCTGGGTCGGGGCAACCCCCAGTATCAATACAGGCTGGGGGATGAAGGGATTGAGAGCAGCCCTGCCGAGAAGGACTTGGGGGTACTGCTGGGTGAAAAGCTGGACATGAGCCGGCAACGTGCGCTC